TACTCTCAATACATGACGAACTGACAAAATACTTGGTCCTAGTACCACTAACAACACAACAGATAGAATCCATAATAACTGCACTCTTAGAAAACTATATTTACATATTTTCTGCACCCAAAACAATTCTAACAGACAAGGGACAAAACTTCATTAGCGAACTCATGTTAAAATTCGAAGAGGCATTTAAGATTAAACACATTAAAACCACTAGCTTCCACCCTCAGTCAAATGGATCTCTAGAAAGAACACATGCTGTAGTAAAAGACATAATCCGTACAAGTCTGCATGATAATAATGATAAAGAATGGGATGAAATATTAAATTTCATATGTTTGGGTTATAAAACAGCCGTACACGAAGGTACCGGATTTTCATCTTTTAAACTAACATTCGGTAGAGACGCAAACCTACCATCAGCAATCGCGAAAACTTCGAATTTAACTTACAATGATATGTTTTCACTCTGGCAAAAACAATTAAATAAATATTTAGATATCGCGAGAAAAACATTAATAAACAGCAAAAAACGATACCTTCGAGACCAGAAAAGAAAGATAGTTCGAACTAAAATGGTATTTAAAGAAGGATATTTTGTATTAATCCATAATGATCACAAAAGAGACAAATTGGACACTGAATGGTTAGGGCCATACAGAATCCACTCTATCAAAACCCCTTATTATGAAATTATGATTGATAATATTATAAAGAAAATACACGGCAATCGTCTAAAACCTTACTTTCCAGGTCGACACTCCTCTTTGCCGGAATAGTATCCGCGCAAATAAATATTACACCATTAGAAGGAAACTTTGTATTTATAGAAAACATAAGAAAGGATATTTGTATAGCGATACTGTCAATATTATTGCAGGATTAGACACTAGCGACGTATACGAGCAAATAAGCAAATAAAATCATATAAATCGACAATAAACTCACGCGCAACCAGCAAAGAATACGCTGAAGAGTTAGACGGATTTCAAAATCGTACCAATAACCTGAAACAACTCGCAAAACAATTGAAAACACACCCGAAGCAAACAAGGTTTACTTAACATCATAGGTTCCGTATCGAAAAGTCTGTTCGGAACTCTCGACGATGACGATCTTACACTCATAAAGGAAAATATGGACAAACTATTCGATGACAACAATAAAATCAAGACTGTAATAGCTAATCAAACAGCACTTATTAGGAAAATTGTAAACTGGAAAAACCTACACCACCTAGAGAAATCATATAACGATGTATTAAAACAACAACAGCAGGCAAATATTGATAGATTTATGCTTAAAAAGATAATGAAACTCGACACCGCGATGCAAACTTTACACTTTCAGTTAGACGAGATACTTAAGGTCATAATATTAGGCAAACAGAGAATAATTAGCTCACAAATACTCGACCCCGATGAATTTATAGAAAACTACGCCAAAGCGATAGGCAACCAGATGTACAACACCGCGATCTCTGCCAAAACCGAACATTTTCAGTTTATACTTGACATTAGTGATCTTAAAATCTTCACAATAGGTGACAAAATATTCCTTAAAATCACAGTACCTTTAGTTTCTAACATGGAATGGAATATATTACAGATATATCCTATCCCGAGTAAGAGAAATGGAGTATTTTTGGCTCCAGTAGTCGAACATCAGATATATTTAACTTCAGGACTTTCATGTATGAACACTGATATCGAATATCTCAACAAACTTTGTAAGAATTGTGCCGGAACCACTATATGCAAACAAACAGCACCAATCCATGATGGAAACTCGAGAACCGATTGTCACAGCGAAATAATAAACTTCAATCCTTATATCGAACATTGCCAAATAAGTGTGTTTAAGATTGAAGACATTAACTTTATACCGCTCAGAACTAGCAACAGCTACATTGCGATACCGGCAAACCCGATAGAAATAGGCACAATTTGCCAAACGAAACACACCTTGCAAAAACTTGACAAGCCCTCCATCATAAGAGCCAACACTTCCTGCGATATATTGTACAAAGATGAACACATGCGTATAAGCGAGACAAAAAACGAAGTCAAATACGAAATCAAAACTAAAACCCTAGCGAAAACATACGATGGCTATTTGTATATACTTGAAATCAAAAGAAAATTTACACAACTTAGTCATGACAATCCCTGTTTTGTTAAATCCAGCTAGTTTTCCACGGGTATATTCCACGAATATTTTTGTATGCCTGTGTATATATACGCATCTATAACCGGTCGTTTATTATCTCGCGAATGAACTTAGAAGACGCTTTTCGATCATTCGTTTCTTGATCTACAGTAACTTACGAACGTACTTTAACACTCACAACCGTAAACTTTCACATAGTATACAGGAGTCTGTAGATAAAGAACGCGTCGTTTCCCAAATTTAAGATTTAATATTTCATCCCGATCGGCTACTGAGGCCATTCAGAACGATAGTCCAAAAATTGATATAATAATATTTGGAAAAAGGTTTAGTCTGACTGGATACAAAATGGAGAAAAAATTAAATTTTTTTACGCTTGCTGCTACCTCTACACTTACGCCTACGTTGCAATTTTGTTTCTAAACGCGTTTAATCAAAATTATATGTATGAACACTCATTATAAGAAAGGAATCATTTATCTAGCTTTAGTTGTTTTAATGCACTCGTGTAACAGTGCTATTTTTGGTGTTTGTGTTTGTGTATGCGCGCGTTCATGATCATTACTCCATGCATTACATTTATTACACGATAAATATTGGATAACTGATTCAAAAAGTGAAAGTCTCGAACCATTGGACTATTCGCAAAAACGCTAACGAAACATGCGATTGAAACAAATGTTGCAAAGTTTCGAAAAATCGTAACTGATAAGACAAAGAACAATGGAACGGTTGCTTTTGAGGGAAGTAATAAAAGAGTTCGACGATCAACGATTTTGATCTTGCCGATGCAAAGATTAAAGCGATTCTGAAATTCTGTCAAAACGATGAGAGAGTGGATGGTTCGGTAACTTAAGCAATTCTAAACTATTCGAAGAACGAAATGATCTGACCTTGCTCGTGTCACGTAAACTTAAGGGTTGGTTGATGAAATAAAATAGCTGAGTCGTAACACAACTATTAATTTTGTTTTAATTAAACTTTATTATGAATTCAGCAATCACAATGTAATACACACTGAATTAACATAAATCACAATTCACTCCAACCACGTTATGTAAGACTTAGTTACACTGATACGTTAAGTACGCCACTGTTATAAGGGTAGAGACCGATAAAGATATGTTGACTATTCTAAGGATACAGAATAAGTGAGTCTTACTGACGATACTGTCTCTGAGGAAGGCTAGGGGTGGGTGTGTCTAAGGACACGGGACTACCGGATTTGTTGATGACGATTTTGGTTAAGAAAGTGAGGGCAGTAGACACCGTCCCCGATTGGATAATAAGACGGTTGGTGGACCAGGAAGGGTTTTAGCCGCCCTCGTGAGAAAGTTGCTAACGGAACATACCAGACGTGAGGAAAAACTAACTTTCCGTGTTAAACCGTAGTAAACAATACACGTAAAAGGAAACCTAAGACAAGAGATACTCGCTTGGTCTGAAGGACCTTAACTATGAAAATTCCAAGACCCCTGGTCGGTACTTAAGACTATTGAGGGTACGCGCCACCGCGCCAAGGATGTGCAGACATCTGGGTGCCATCCTGTCCGCGGTGTGTGGCCTGGTCTCTGATACGAATTGACGTTACACGGGCTGCGCTGAAGCCTTTTGCTTGGCTTGAATGGGCTGAACCCGTCTCCTTCCTTCTTTCTCTTCAGATTCGGTATCACGGTTCTCCCTCTTCCCTTCCTTTCTTAGCGTATGCGTCCCGTCGCCCTCGGCCGCGTAGCTCCTCCCTCCTATCAAATCCAATTTGATTTCCCAAACCGTGGGGGTGCCTTGCACGAGGGGGTGCCTTGGGATCAACCCCCCCTCCCGC